GTTCTTGGGGGGCTGCAGGCTCCCTCTGCTCCAGCAGTCCCTTCCTGGCGGGAGAAGCAACCAGAAGAAGGGCTGTCCTGGCTGTGAGGGAATGGGATGAGAGGAGCACTTTACCAAAACTGGCTGGGTGTGAGAACTGAACTTACTATACTGACCATAGGGCGAACACAACTATCTTCAGGAGGATCTTAGGTGAGTCCAATTTCCCATCCAATTTATCTATAAAAGAAATTAATCATCCTTCCCTGACATTCTGTGACTCCCAAGCTAATCCACCCAAGGTGGAGGCCTGCGAGCCCTGCCCCAAGCCTGCACTGCAGAGGGAACCAGGTGAGCCCTGCCCCCACTGCCCAGATGCTGGGGGTAGGGAGGGGACAGTGCTGCAGAACCACCAAAGCCAGAGACCCTGGAGAGAGGCCAGCTTTCACCCTGGATATCTCAGACATCACTGTGCAATAATAACCTGGGGAGCTCGAGAGATCAGCAAAGCAGAGACCTGATCCCACCCTGGAGCCCAACATCATGAGTGGGAGCCCAGGTCCACGCAGGTAGAGACCCCACCTACGACTGATGAGGAAAGAGGGAGTTTCCGTCCGAATCTTAAAGAATACATGGCTAGGGGCTTTAGAAAAGTATTACCTGGAGATAGAGGGTCTGCCAGGACATGGGATGCAAGCAAAACCAGAGAAGTAGAAGATCAAGCACAGGCTTCTCTGACCTGCATGTCCCAGACAGTCCACACACCATAAACATCCACCAGGACCCACCCAAGCCACAGACTAGGAGGGTCACTGCCCACAAGGAGCTCGGTGCTGGGCAGTGAGAGGTGACCGGCAACAGAACCTGGTAAATGCAGTCAGAAAAGGGATGCTCCCTCTGTGATGAGCAGGCTGGCAGGAGGATTGTGGTTTTAACCATATGAGTCGGTTTGCTTTGCCAAAGGACAAAAAATATGCTAGCCACAGACAGCCTCCTAACCACAGCCATGGCTAAGTCTTTGCCACCGAATAAGCCCAAACAACAGCCATAAAGAGACCCCTAAGTCCAGGTACACCCACACATACACACTGACCCCCAACACCGGCCACAGAAGGGTCCCAATCCCAGTGTGAGCCTTCAGGGTGACCCCTCATATCTTCCTCTGAGTCCTCAGCTCTGACCTTGGCCTTGGGGCTTTGGACAGGAAAGCCACCCAATAGGTTGCTGCTCTACTCTGAACCTGCCCAGAGTTCCAGTCAGGCCAGCCTTACCCCCAACAGCCCGCTGGGCCCTGTGCCGGCGAGAACAGAGTAGACTCCGGTACCCAGTAGACGGTCATAAATAATGGTTTGAAAGAATCCCTGTGTTAACTAACAATCTCTTACTTATGCTGCAGATTCCTGACCAGCATCCCTCCCTCCTGCATCCATGTACCGTCCTGGCTCCCTCCTTTCAACATTTCCACTCACTCCTCAGCCCACCCCCATCTGCTGCCCCCTCCTTCCTCCCCAGAACGGTTACCAGGCCGCGGCGCACTCCCCACCATACTTGGCCCCTCTCCCGCAGCTGACACGGCTGCCCAGTCTCCCTTTGAGAAACGCTCCTCCTACTCAGTCTCCAGCCTCCCCCACATCAGCCTCTGCCCCCCAGGGAGCCCCTCAGGGCGCCACCCCAGGAATCTCTCCTCTTCTCGCTCCACCCTCTCCTGGAGCACTCACTGCCCCTGGCCCAGCCCTCCACCCCAAGCTTTAATGCCCACCTCTAGAAGAATGGCTCCATTACTACCTCCAGTGTGTACCCTCTTCTGAGTCTGGCCCCCAAATACTCAGCAGCTCACTGACACCCCCATTTGTGTCTCAAGCACGTGCAACACAGAACTTAGAACTTCAGCCCTCATCCTCCCTTGGGGTCCCCCATCTCAGAGAACAGCTGTACCATTTACCAGTGGTTCCAAACCCAGGGCCACTCTTGCCTCCTACCTCTCCCCAAATCCTCCTATCTCATCAGTCTACCTCCTAGGAAATCAGAGCTCTGACCACTTCCAAACAAGCCCACAGACCCCTCAGAGTCGGGCCACCATCGTCCCCTCCCCACCCCTGCACCGGACTCCCTAGGTGACCTCCCAACCCCTCCCCCACTTTTCCACTCTGCGCCTCCCACAAACTCTCCACCCAAGAGCCAGGGTGAGTTTTTCCAAAAGTCCCATCATTTGGCTACTGCTCTGACTAAAATCTTCAAAGACAATAATGCCCTTAGGTAGGATAAAGCCCAAAATCTTTAACAAAACTTCTGAGGGTGTAGGTGGAAGGGATGGGCAGAGTGGGTGCAGGGGACCGGGAGGCAGGGGCTTCCGGTTCTGGAATGACTAAGGCACGGGGTAAAAGGCACAGCACAGGGAATAGAGTTGGTGATACTGTAATAGGTGTACTGTGACAGATGGCAGCTATACTCGGGGTGAGCACAGCAGAACGTACAGACGTTGTCCTTGTCCAATCACTATGTTGTACACCGGAAACTATGCAACATTGTGTCAACTATACTTCCACCTTAAAAAAATGTTCTCAGATTAAATTTTTTAAAAAGTAAAGAATAAGGGGCGCCTGGGTGGCTCAGTCATTAAGCGTCTGCCTCCTCTCTCCTGCTCCAGGGGCTCACGGAGCCTGCAGCACTATGTCTGCGTACCCATCCCGAGATTCCGCCCTCCTAAGGAGCTCCCAAATGATGCAGGCCCTGCTGGTCCCTCAGCCTCCCTCTGAGTAGCAATCATCTAGAACACTCTCCTCCACCCTGACTGCACCTTTGCCAACAAGGTCCTACTCAACTGCCAGGGCTCAGCTTCCACATCATTTCCTAAGAAGTCCTGCCTGATGCTCTCCAAGGTTAGGTTCGATGCCCGCACACACCCCCTTTATATTGTCCCTGAGCTATGCTGTGATTCTCCTTTGGAACGTTCATCACACCTAACTGTCCATCCTTCATCTTCAAGTTAGTTTTTCAGCTTTCACCCCCGGCCCCCCCAGCTAGATGACAAGCTCCAGGACGGCGGGGACCGTGACTCCGTGTTCACTCAGCACCGGGCCTGGCACAGGGCCAGCACTTGTGGTGGAAAGCTGTTTGTGCCTGCCCTGCATCCATCTCCCCATCTTCTTCTCCTAATGACACCTCAATGTTCCTTTGAGGAACCACCCCTCTCCCACTCTCGGTTCTTTGGGCTTAGATAAGCGGGCCTGAGACCAGGTCTGGCCAGTCAGAGCCCCCACCAATCTGGCCACAATGATTGTTGCAGAACGAGGCAGGTGACCCAAGCCAGGCCCTCAAGCTTCCCCCCTGGGACTTTCGTCAGAAGTACTGGGGGAAGATACTCTTCTTTCCACTGAAGTTACTAACAGGTGGGAGCTACTGTCACCATCTTGCCACCACAGAGACAGAGCTCGACAAAGAATGAAACCAACACAGAAGAGAGATGGGAAGAGACAGATCTCATAGATGTAGCCATGCCTAGAGTCTACACTTGCCATCACAAAGCAATAAATTCTGTTCTATGCTTCAGCCAAAGGGAGTTATGTTTCCGTCACTTGTAACCAAGAGTCCTGACGAATACAACATTCAAGCAAGTACTGGGTGTTGAATGAAATCACTGAGCATGTGGGTAAGGGAAGCCTGCCAAGAGAGCTCAGTGACTCCTCCTAGGAGACTTCCAGGGTTCTCCCTGCAAACTCCCACCACCCATGAGCACAGTGACAAGCATCCCACATCCAATTTTGCAGACCGAGGGGCTGAAACGCAGAATGGTAACATGCTTCTCAGCATTACCCTCTGCAAACAAACCACCCAGCGCCTGGCTCAGGTGCCTGCACTGGGATTAGGCTGATGGAGGTGCTCTGCCTTTCAATGCCCCTGGATACCCCATTAGGAGGAAAGCAGGCTGTCCACAGTCAGCCCTGTGCCCCACCAACTCCTGGACTCCTCAGGCTCTGGCTGTCATTCTATGATATTCCCCCTCGATGCCACCACACAGCTCTCTGCATGGTGGGCATTCAATATGGGATGATAACGGGAAGGTGGCTTTTACCTACTTCCTTTGAGGGGGATCATTTTCCAACAGATCAGATGAGGGGAGTGGGGGTACAACAGAGAGCAAGAGGAGAGAGATGTGTAATTATTTCCCTGTGAGTCATCACCTAGCAAAGCCCCAGGACAGAGATGGAGGGTGGCCTAGATGTCCCCTCAGATGACTCAGGAAGCTAGTCCTCACCCGGCACACTGTGAAAGGGAGGGAGGGAAGGAGCATCATGCATTGCTGCCTAGGCAGGAATACTGGCTGAGCCAAAGTCCTCCCTGAGAGCCAGCTCAGGCCTGTGACCATCCTGTCAGGGGGCACTGATATCTGAAGGGAGCCGGGCATGGTGCGGGGAGGGTGCAGTTGCCTCAGCTCCTTCCCAGGAATGAGCAGGCTGGGCCCAGGGTTCTGGGAGGTGGTCTCCCAGGAAGGACACTTGTGAATGAAGTGCTAATAGGAAAGATTTACTGACCCCCAGAAGCTCCAGAGCAAGTCTCCCACAGGGATTGGGGTGACAGGGCCAGCCCAGGGGGGCCAGAGGCAGGTAGAGCAGAATGCAAGTGCCACCCAAGTCCCAGGAGGGTGCCGCCCACAGGACCCGCCTTCCCCAGCCCCGGCACCAGGCAGCCCTCCTGGGAAGTAGCCCCTTAAAAAAAAAAAAAAAAAAAAAAAGACACCAGGCCGCAATCCCTTCTCCGCCTTTTGGCTAAGACCAAGTGAAGACAGCAGGCTACACTCTTGAGTGTCCTCACTCCCTCCTGCCTGGGCCCCTTGTGCCCGACCCCACAGCCCCCCAAGGCCTCATTCAGCCTCTGACACCCCCAAGTCTCAGTCACACTGTCCTCCTACACCGGTGAGCTCAGGTAGACACTGCCTCCTGGGGTGTCGGGGCGCTCTGTGGCACCCACTGGGCCAAAAGGACAGCCACTGCCCCGCCACTGCCCAACTCTAGGCCTCTTACCTTCATAGTGGGAGGTGCGGTGAGAGGGGGGGACAGCGGCCGGTCTGGGAAGGTCACGTCCGGGCTGTTGGCCAGCTCCTGCTTCCTGTGAAGAGGCCACAGAATACGGGAGAGGTCAGAGGTCAGTGAGAGCCTGCCGAGCCGTCGCCTCTCCCCGCCTACAGGAGTGGGCACGGGGACCTGCTCTAACACACACCGCGCGAGACCAGGCTGCACCGCACTCTCTGCTGGGGTGTTCTAAACTTTGTTTTGTTTCGTTTTAAAACCTAGCACAGTCCAGGGGCACCTGGGGGGCTCAGTTGTTAAGCATCTGCCTTTGGCTCAGGTCATGATCTCAGGGTCCTGGGATCGAGCCCCGCATCAGGCTCCCTGCTCAGCGGGAAGCCTGCTTCTCCCTCTCCCACTCCCCCTGCTTGTGTTCCCTCTCTCGCTGTCTCTCTCTGTCAAATAAATAAATAAAATCTTTAAAAAAAAAAAAAAACAACCTAGCACAGTCCAGTGTAGTTAGAAAATACCTTTTATTTTTTTTAAGATTTTATTTATTCATTTGAGAGAGAGAAAGAGAGAGTGAATGAGAGAGAGAGAGAACACGAGCAGGGTGAGGGGGGCAGAGTCAGAAGCAGGCTCCCCGCTGAGCAGGGAGCCCAATGTGGACCTCGATCCCAGGACCCCAGGATTGTGACCTGAGCCAAAGACAAAAGCTTAACTGACTGAGCCACCCAGGCACCCCTGTTTCATTTTTTGTTTATTTATTTGAGAGAGAGAGAGAGTGTGCGCAAGCAGAGGCAGGGGCAGAGGGAGAGGGAGAGAGAGAATCTCAAGCAGACTCCCCGCTGAGTGCAGAGCCAGACCTGGGGCTCCATCTCACAACCCTGAGATCATGACCTGAGCCAAAATCAAGAGTCGGACACTTAACCGACTGAGCCCCCTGGGGCTATTCCACATGCGGTTCCTGTACCAGCCACATCAGCATCACCTGGGAACTCGTGAGAAATGCAAATGCTCAGGTGCACACCAGAGTCTCAGCCGTGGGGCCTAGGAATCTGGGTTTACAATCCCTCCAGCTGGTTCTTTTTTTTTTTTTTTTTTTTTAAGATTTTTATTTTATTATTTATTTGACAGAGAGAGACACAGCGAGAGAGGGAACACAAGCAGTGGGAGTGGGAGAGGGAGAAGCAGGCTTCCCGCGGAGCAGGGAGCCCGATGCGGGGCTCGATCCCAGGACTCTGGGATCATGACCTGAGCCGAAGGCAGACGCTTAACGACTGAGCCACCCAGGCGCCCCATCTCCAGCGGGTTCTGATGCACAGTGCAGTCTGAGAACCGCGCTCTGAAGACAGAGGACCCACAACACCCACAGGCCTCAGGGGCACGGACAAATGTTGAAAGGCATCAAAATAAGCATACCGTTTTACCGCAGTGACACAGTGGAAAATAATTAGGCCCTGAAACTGTAGCAGTTACCATTCATCTTCAAGCATTTTCATTTGTCAAAATTATAGAGGTTACTAAAATACAGCTATACATTCAGTAGATGTATTTTGAAATACATTTGAATTCAGGACCAAAAAAAAGAGAGACAGAACAAGAATATAAACGTTTGTGAGTCATCCTTCCTGGGTCCCCTTTGCCCCTGTGAACACGAACACACACACACACACACACACACACACACACACACCACCACCACCACCCCAACCCCCCCGCGGCCAGAGAGCTGACCCTGGGAGGATGGGGCTGCCTGCTGTGTAAGCTGCAGGTAGAACTTATTTTAGTCCATGTGGGCTAGGACCATGGAGAAGCAGCTCAACAGAGTTGTGTCACCATGACAACACGACAGCAACAAGTTCACTGCTCTCACATTCTCCCCACTTTCCATCTGGCCCTCGCTGGTGACCAGGCGGTGCTAGCTTGCAGTCCGATCCCCGGGCAGGATGCTGGCAGTGAGATAAGCCTTTGGAGCAATGGTTACGCAACAGGGCCAGCTGGGCAGAACTTGGGGGAACCCCAGACAAGGGCTTCTGGTGTCCTGGACATGCCCTGGCTGTCTCCTGAGACAGCGTGGAGCGGCGAGGGCAACGGTATCAAGAGCCCGAGACCTGGCTGAGCCGCCAAGGCTCCCAACTTTGCAACTGCTTCCTTCTCCAAAGCCCCACCCTGAAGCAGCCGAGTCAGTCTGACACCTGGGTCCTATTTCAATGTCCAAAGGACCCCCATTGCCACCTCAAGAGAATGCTTCTGTACTTTCTAGCCCACATCTTGCCAACAGGGAGGACAACCCCAACCCCAGACCTCCTTCATGAGAGAAGCCCACCCTCCCTACAGAGCCTCACCCTCTGCCTTTCCACAAGAAGCCCTTTTGCCCTGAGAGCCAGACACCACCCCAGCCTGGCTCCCCGTAGCCCACAGGGCAGCCCAACCTGAAAGAAACCAGACCAGGTGCTGTGGGGCCCTGTGTACCCTGGCATGACCCCTGCCTACCCCTGCCGCGGGCCATGCCTCATTGTCCTCTAGGCAACCAGGTAAGGAGGCTGCGTGAACATCTGGCTTCGAAGAGGATCCATATGACCCCCATTAACCTCAACCTGCCAATCCCCCTTTCTGATCCTCCATCTGTCTTTTTCTTCATGTCCTCCTGGACCTAGCTCTCATTCAGGGTGGGGAAGAGGGGGGTGCCCCCCTCCGGGTCCAGACTATAACTGGCACAAGAACCAGCAGGGCCACGAATCGTGCAGATGTGCACACACTCACGTGCAAAGGAATGAATGAGGCTCCTTCTACCTCTTAGTCAAGAGCCACCACCTCCCCTTCCACTGATGGCCTTGGGCCAGTGCGGGGTCCAGCCCAGCTGTTCTGGCCCTCTCCTGCCTGTGGACCCCATGGAGCTGGATCCCGGCACAGGCTCGCCCCCTCCGGCCACTCGGCCCTCTCCCAAGCAGCTACTGCTCCCCGTCAACGGGCTAGTCCCTGAGAGCCATGATAAGGGAAAGGGAGGGGTGGAAGGATGAGCAGGGATGGGGGCACCACCTTCAGGTCCCCTGAGATGAGGATGGACGAGGACAGCTCCCCTCGGAGGCTGGGAGCCAAGGAGAAAGAAGCATGCAGGCAGAGGACAGGAGGCAAGCCCCTTGCCCAAAGTCTACAGGATATGGCACACTTGCCTGACCGCAGTCCCAATTTGTAGGCACACGAATCCTAGAAGAGGGCAATGTTGGCAGATTTTTACTATCACTGGTGTAGGGACGCTCATACACAGAGTCACGCGGTCTGCTTCTCGCCATAAGGTGCAAGACGTCCACGCCCATGGGACCACAGCAGATGCGACTACTACCCAAGGCCCCTGAGTCTCCGGCAAAGGGCCCCCGCACCCAACCCCTCCTAGGCTGAGCCCCGCTTCCCTGCACCAGCCTGTTTTCCCTGGATGCCGGCATAAGCTCCTGGGACCAGTCACCAGGGAGTGGTGAGGACAATTCGGTGGGGGCACAAGGTGTCTTCCAGCCAGAAGGCTTTCCGGAATGGTGTCTGGAGCCTGGAAGGTGCTGGAGCAGGAATGAGCACCAGTGGCTAGCGGCTTCGTGCTTGTTCTGGGGCTCTGTCCAAGACTCCGGACGGGGTGCCAGGGTGGACAGAAGGCAAGACTGCTGTCCTCAAAAAGAGCAGGACTCAGAGTACACACAGGCCCTTGGTCACAGACCTACCCCGCCTTGGTACCGATGGCTTTGAAGGGCACCTGCGGGAGGGGACAGGACACACTGCTCCGTCCCCATCCTCAACTCCTAGAAGCCAAAGGTACCTAATGAAGCGCCAACTGCCTATTATGAATCGTGTCCCCGAAAAAAGATAGTTGAAGTCCTAACCTCCAGTACCCATGAATATGTCCTTACTAGGAAATGTAATCAAGTTAAGAGGTCATTAAGGTGGGGCCCTTAATTCAATTTGACTGGCGTCTTTGTCATCCGAGGACCAAAAACAGACAACGGAATCCCCCGCTTGCGCCTCACCACCCCTGCCATGGTCAGCGGGGCTCAAGCTCGTCCTGCCCCCGCCCTCACAACCTTCGTGTGCGGAGCCACCTTCCCGGGGACAGCCAGGCCCAGCCCGGCCACCAGCTGGTGCGAAGACAGAGTAAGAACTTGGGTGCTCAGTGCCCTTCCAGCCCTTTCTCAAGCAAACAAATCACACACGAGTAGGTGAAAGTGACATGATTATACCAAGAAGTAACCTTGAATCTGCTCTCATTTATTATAAGCGAAAGGTAAATTATTAGCAGAGGTGGTATCCTTACTATTATTTGTAACAACTTTCTTGTGACCCACAGTGATCTTGACATTGTCACGGCACAGAGTCTGAAACTGCCTCTCCAACCAGGCCAGCCAAATGCTCACACACAGCTCCAACGACGTGGGGTCCCAGACCCACACAGGGACCCACAGGATGAGGGAAAAATGGGAATGGAGAGAAGGCAGAAGAGGGAGGAGGAAGAGCATACACTCTGCTCAAAGAGAAAGGTGATAAGCGTGGACACAAATGGGCAGGTCAGCGGCCTCCTCCAGCCTCTGGAGGTCGTGGGGGTGCTACCCACTCAGCATCCCTCTGTCCCGGAACCACCTAACACTGAGGTTCTCTGCTCTGGGATTCCTTCCCAGGAAACATGGGCAAACCTGGGGCAGCTGGGAGAGGGTCTAGCTGGCTTTAGCCAAATGCAGATCTCGAGAGGAAATGATCAAGGAGCCTGTGGAGGAAGGTGAGAAAGCCAGGGGATGGTTCACCCAGATGGGACTGTTCACCCCCCCCAGGCGAGGGCCCCCTACTTACAGCACCCAGGCCTTCTAGCTCCTTCTGTCCAACCTCAGATTTCCCTGCCCTAGACCATCTGAGGTCATCTCCTCCCCACTTCTATGAAAGTGCCCTACGCTAGGGATCAAGAGACTCCCAGGTTCCAGTCTGGATCTACCTGCTACCCCACTGTGTGCCCTCGGGTAAGTCACCTCCCCTCTCTGGGTCCCACTTCCTTCATCTGCAAAGATGGGGGCGATGATGTTCTGAGGAATTAAATGTCATCGCTGTGAAATAAAACATAAAGTC